TCTCTGCCCTGAAATCTTTTTTCCATTATGTATTCACTCATTACACCAAGAAGATTAAAGTTATTCGAACAGATAATGGTACTTTCCACCTAGAGTAAGATTTAAAAAGATTTTATCGCTCGAACAGATATATGGTGGACTGAGTTTCTCACTAGCTTACTGGGAGAATTTGTAGCTCTGTTGCTAACAGATAATGGTACTGAGTTTCTCAATAATACTTGTAGCTCTTTCTTTCAAGAAAATGGGACATTACATCAACGATCTTGTGTTTACACTCCGCAGCAGAATGGAGTTGTCGAACGGAAACATCGGTCATTGTTAAACATAGGCCGAGCCTTATTATATCAATTCAAACTTCCACCCAAGTTCTGGTCTGAGTTGTTGTTGACTGCCACCCATATTACCAATAGATTACCCTCTGAAAACTTGAATTGGCAAACACCTTATGAGCGACTGCAAGGGCAGCTAGTGGATTACAGTTACTTCCGTACTATAGGCTGTTTGTGTTTCGCTACAAATACCTTACCTCATAAACTGAAATTTGATCCAAGGGCATCTCCATGTGTTTTAATTGGTTATGCTCAACAACAAAAAGCATACCGATTATACAACTTGATTGTGTTTAAGCTTCGGTGTTACATGCTCAACCCAACTAAAAAGCTTCATCCACCGATATGATACAACGGTCTGATCTAAACAAAGACTATTAATCAGTTCACGCGTCGTGGACTCGTTAGTTTTATGTCAGAGTCGGAGGTGTTTCCCTGGTTCAGTAACGATTTACAAACCCCGAACACTTGTCATTCGATTTTTGTTTGGGGCAGGCCCTCGAAGAACTGGTTATTTTCCGTATGCAGACCCTTGGTATATGTTTTATCCTAAAATGTATTTCCGATGCAGACCTTGATGTTTTATCCTATCCTATACCTTCCACTGAGACAAATTTTGTGTCGCAACTAGACCAGCAGTATGTACCCAAAGGAGATAGTGTACCTCAACCATACCAACCGAATATACCCGATTCTACTTCTTTTGAATCAGTTGAACATGTCACAGCAGAATTGTCCCCTGTTTTCCAACCTGTGAACCGAAGAAGTACTAGACAACAAAAACCCCCAGCTTGGCTTGCTGATTTTGTCACTAATCCACAAACTAGTTCCCACATACACTTTACTTCTTCTCATTTATCCTTTGTTGCACAGATATCCAAAGTTATTGAACCTTGCACTTATAATCAAGCTAAAAATAACAATAATTGGGTAATTGCCGTGAATAAAGAATTGACTGCCTTAGAACAAAACAATACATGGGTGCTTACTGATTTGCCTTCTAATGTTACTCCTATTGGTTGTAAGTGGATATATAGGGTTAAATACAATGTGGATATGCTATAGAGGTTAAAGGTACAATTGCTCTGTGATATGCTTTATTCCTATATCGATAATTGGGTAGCAAACTCGGCTTGCTTGCTAAAGGTACATATCATCTTTCTGGCTTGAGATATACAAAAGCTCGGCTTGTTGCTAAAGGGTACAATCATCTTCTTGGCTTGGATTACAACCAGACATTTTCACCTGTTGTGAAACTTGTTACAGTTCGAGTGTTTTTAACTATTGCAACTGCATTTACTTGGCCACTGCATCAACTTGACATCAATAATGCGTACTTACATGGTTCTATAGATGAAGACATTTATATGCAGGTACCTCCAGGGTATGAGAAAGCCAAACCAGGGCAAGTTTGCAAATTGCAACGGTCTCTATATGGGTTGAAGCAAGCTGGCAGACAATGGAACAAGGAATTAACTGTAAGTTTAATAGCTGAAGGTTTTTGCCAATCCTCTTTTGATCACTGTTTGTTCACTCGAGGTAACGGTAATACATTCATTGCTGTCTTGGTTTATGTTGATGATTGCCTGATTTCTGATCCCTCAATTGCTTTGATTGATGAATTAAAGGCTTATTTGCATGGGACATTTACTATTAAAGATCTTGGACATGCCAAGTATTTTTTGGGCATCGAAATAGCTTGGTCAACGGACAGAATGTTGTTAACTCAGCATAAGTTTATAGCTTGGTCAACTGGACAGAATGTTGTATAAACATCACATTATCAGTTTTATAACACATTATCTGTTGCAATACACAAGTTTACAGATTCTAGCGTTTCTAGTCGACTTACATTACAAGACCTCAAACCTCAAGTTGCCGACATGGGCAGACGCTTGTTGCAAGACCCAGAACGTTTACAGACGTTTTTAATCGGCAGACTATTATATTTGTCGCTCACATTAGATACCTGATATTAGTTCTACTGTTTGTTCAACAAACTAAGGTCATTTATTGCAATCTTCTCACCAATCAGTTCATTTCATCATCATGGTGCTATGCAATTTAAGACATTGTGGTGAAGTATTTACAGTGTGGTTCAAGGTACTAGTTAAAGGGAGTATTTACATGGTACTAGTTTAAAGGGGTTGTTTCTTCCAGCTTCAAATGATCTAAAGCTTCGAGCTTTCTCAGATGCCAACTGGGCCTCTTGTGCGGATACTAGGAGATCTGTTACCGGGTATTGTATCTTTTTGGGTACTTCCTTGGTGTCATGGAAGTTGAAGACACAAACGACTGTAAGTCGATCTTCCGCCGAGTCTAAGTATAGAGCTATGGCTTCAACTGTTTGTGAAGTTCGGTGGCTATCTTCTTTACTTACTGATTTTCACATTACTGTTCCTACTCCAATTCCGTTACATTGTGACAATACAGCAGCAATTCATATTGCAGCTAATCCCATTTTTCATGAGCGAACAAAACACATCGACATTGATTGTCATGTGGTTCGGGCACAATTACAAAATGTATTCATTAGTCCTTATTTGCCCAGCTCCATGCAACTAGCTGACATGTTCACAAAACCTTTGTCTACTCAGCTATTTCAGAATTTTGTGTGCAAGCTTGGATTGGTTGTGTGCAAGCTTGGATTGGTTGATTTCTCATCAACTCCAGCTTGAGCGGGGGTATAAAGTATATTTGTGTGATTATTTTTGTATAGTGAAAATAGCGTTAGAATAGCTATAACTCTAACAGATATTTGTTAGTAGCGTTAGAATAGCAATAACTCTAACAGATACACACTTGTATAAATTCTTACTCTAATATGTAAAGTAGACATGACGGAATAATAATATTCTGAGGAGGCTATCATTCATCAGGTCCTCTTTCAATTTTGTGTCTTTCTATTTTATGAAATTCCCTTTTTGTTGGCTGCTTTGATCCTTTTCAACATGTCATTAAACTGTATAAAAATATTTGTCTAGGGACCGACAAGTCATTAAATTGTAAAATTATTTTTCAAGAAGTTTTCTTTTCATGAAGATCAAGAGGGTTAGGTAAAACTTTTTTTTATAAGACTCCATTTCTGAAAATTGCGTGAGATGGAACCTCTGTGCAATAAGAATCAATGTACATGCATTTATGCATCAGAATATTTTCTCTGGGATGCTATACATCCAACACAAGAAACATATAGGTTTCTTGCTCGAATAATTTCGACAACTCTGTTTCCATATATTTGAAGCTAGACTAATTTTCAAAACCAAAAAATTATTTTTAAGCAATTCAATAATTTACAAGGATTTATTTGCACAGAAAAAAAATTAATTTCAAAGGCTTATGTTATTTTTTCCTTTAGTTTTCCCATTGAGTATTTTCATAACCTTTGGATATGTAGAGCATATATTATTTTGTTACTTCTAATATTTTCTTTTCGAAGAATAATCAGATCTAAATAACATTGGATAAAGTTTCTTTGAAATACAAGTAGAATACAATAAAATGCTCTTTACAGACATGAGAAACTCACATTCCCAACTTTAATTCAAGTGAGATTTTTACTAACATGAGGATTGAGTTCAAAAGGTACATCAGCTCCATTAGAAACTAATGAATTTAAAAAAAAAAATAAAAAATTACACTTACTATGCATTAAACCACTCTTGACCTGCTTTCTCTTTATTCTTAAGGTCTATTCGGTAAAATTAGTTGTTTTGATAGTTGTTAGCTGTTTTAATAACATTTAGCTGTTAGCTGTTTGATTAACTTTTCATAAAAAGCTATAAGCTAAATGTTACATGAGTTAACTTTTTATAAAAGCTATCTTAACCTCCAAAAGCCAGTTCAAAAGCTATGTTATCGAATATTATAAAAATTAATATTTAAAAGCTACTTAAAAAGTTGTTAGCTGTTTTAATAACATTTAACTGTTAGCTGTTTGAGTAACTTTTCATAAAAAACTATAAGCTAAACGTTACATGAGTTAATTTTTTATAAAACGCTACCTTAACTTCTAAAAGTCAGTTCAAACACTATATTATTGAATATTATAAAAAATAACGTTTAAAAGTTACTTAAAAAGTTGTTAGCTATTTTAATCTGTTAGCTGTTTGAGTAACTTTTCATAAAAAGCTATAAGCTAAACGTTACATTAGTTAACTTTTCATAAAACGCTATCTTAACCTTTAAAAGTCAGTTTAAATACTATGTTATCAAATATTATAAAAAATAACGTTTAAAAGCTACTTAAAAAGTTGTTGCCCAATACCGTCTTAATTTGAGATGCGGCATGAAATCCTCAAAAGGATAGGACAAAATTTCCATCCCTATAAAAATATTAGCTATGCTATTACAATCAAGTACAATAATCTAAACTATTCATTAGCATAATTGCATAAGAATAAAAGAACCATTAAGCATAATGCATAATGCATATATATATATATTTTTTTTTCTTTTCTTTTCTTTTTTTTTTTTTTTTTTTTCCAGCAAAATACATTACTACTAATCATCCTCTCTATTTTGCAAAAAGTGTATATTATACCTCATATATCTATCTCTTATGGCTTTTAGAGTTTACGATATTAAACACCTAAATCAACATTTTCATGGCCTTTCAATGAACTCCACATCCAAACAAGATTTTTTTTTTTTTTTTTTTTTTGAAAATCCAAGCAAAATACATATATAATCAATCCTCTTCATATTGCAAAAAGTGTATATTATATATATATATTCTCTATGCTTTTAGAGTTTAAGATATAACACTAAATCAACATTTCATGCCTTTCCAATGAACTCCACATCAAACAAGAGAACTGCACCCGGAGGAATGATGCACGATCCTGCAATATTCAACCATTAACCTTCTTTATTAGAGTTAAGATTATCATAATTAGCCAGAGATTGTAACTACTGAATAAAGAAGTACCAATACCATATTATATCATAAAATTCATTAAATTTTTTTAAAAAAAATTAGTAGTTTTTTTATGGAAATAAATGTTAGGGTTTGCCATTTAATAGTAGTGACTCAAGCTAATAGAGATACTGTGTAAGAAATATATAAATATGTAGACGTGGAGCTTCATGTCAAGGGATCTGTACCTCCTTTGCAACCAGCCCCTCTCATGCCATATCCGAGTTCTGGAGGAAGCTTCAATATGCGTTTTCCTCCTGGATCACCAAATTGATATTATAAATAAGGTAAAAATGTTAATGGGTTAATTTATATCTATGTGCATAGTCCATATATATCCATAGTCCATACCCGCTTGCATGGGAGGAATTCCATCTCCACCTAGAATACCTTGATCCCAGCCTTTGATGACCTGTGGAGTTCATGAAAAAAAAAAAAAAATCCAATTCTTTCAAGAACTTATCATCTAAAGCCAAAATCAGAGTGCTTTGCCCCACCATTTTCAAGAGAAGGTACGCATTTTGACAAAATGAACCAAAATCTTTTATGGGTAAGCACAAACAATGAAACTATTGACATAATAAATATATATTTCTTACCTCACCAACACCTATACGAAATGTCAGAGGCTTTCCTCTATTGTAACTGCTATCAAACACTGTGCCATTCGTCAATTTTCCAACATAATGTGCCTGTACCATTTGTTTATCCTCAAATATCAATTACCAAAAATTGTTTGCATATTGATTCGATGAATCGTTAGTTTTGATTCAGGAAACCGTCAATTTCGGTCGGATTAGCCCGACTGAAGCTAGTCTAATACAAGTTAGTTTTGAACTCAATGGAGTATGATTAATTAATAGTGAATATAATATCTAATTATGAAAAATTAAATCTAAATAGTTGAACAAATTATACTCAAAATGTAATTATATAATATTAATCACATACATTCGCTAATAAATTCACAATTAAATATATAAGAAAGGTTAATTAAGTTTGAAATTTACCTTAATGAGCTGTCCCTTTACAGCCTCAGGTCCAGTCCCCAGAACCTTATCACAAAAGGCAAGTCCAGAAGGAGCCACTGTCAATTCACAAGCAGCTTCAGCTGCAAGAGAGGGTTGTGGTTGAAAGAAAATATCAGCAACTCCAATGCTACTAAACAACCCAACACCAATAATTGCTTCTCTTCTCTTAAACAGATTCTGTCTTTCTTTCAGCTGCAGGTTTTGATAAATAAAGCTTTCTTGGTTTTGGATTGAAATTTTGGTGTTTGATGGTATTGTTGGATCGATAGCAGTAATGGGTAGTATTTTGCACAGATTTGTTGGAGTATGCCCAGCTGATATTGCCAATGAATTCATTTCCACCAAAAAGAGTTTTGTAAGAGATAAAACTTGATTGGGTTTTGCAAGAACGGTATTTATTGAAACATAGCGAATGTGAAAAATCTGCTTCTTGGACTGAGCATATTTCGGTCGAACCAACCAAATTAAATCGGTTCAGTTTGAATTTTTACATATTTTTTTGTCACGATTTTTATTGCAAAAATATATATATATATATATATATATATTTTGATTCAGTTTTGTTTTTGTTAAACTTGAAAAATAAGTTTAAATTTGGCTAGAAATAACTAGAATCCGAATTGAACTTACCGAAACCAACCAGATTGATTCAATTCAGTTTGGTATTATCATTAAGATTAATTTAACTCTTATTTTCAAAAACTTTGATCTTGATTAATTTAATTTAATTGAATCAATTGAATATTAATCATGCCTCTTGTACTTCTACTGCTACATGGTAGGGTTGTTCATGGTTTCCAGGGGTCGAACTGAACTTCAGAACTTAATTGGATCGAATCAAAAATTTAAAAAAAAAAAAAAAAATGTTTCATAAGAACCAGAGCCAAAAAGGTTTACGTGTTGATTCTGATTTTGGTTCTTACTAAGAACCTGAGTTGGAACTAAACTGGGACCATACTGAACCGAAACTGAACTTATGAATGAATTAATATATAGTTTAAAACTTTTAAAACAATCATATAGTTTATTATTTAAATTAAAATTTTCGTTATTGTTTTACTTAATAAATACTTCATTCCATTTCAACATTTTATCTTTTCATAAGAATTAAAAAAAATGATTGGAACACATTGATTTTTTAAAAATATATAGTAGAATGTCTAAATTACCCTTCTTAAAATTAAAAATTCCTCATTTAATTTTATTATAAAAAACCAATATTAGTTTTATCTCATATTAAAGCACCACCGTTAGAATAACACTTCCATTTCAATTTTTCATGCCTTGATATAATGATAAACTTTTAGTTATCTGTAGTCAAAATTTTAATTTAACTGCAATTAAAGGAATGATAAAAAAGAGAAAAATAAATATAAACATAAACAAAATTACAGTTTATAAATATAGGTAAAATTGGAAAAAATTTATTTATATACTATCCAAGTTCTAAATTAACACTTAAAGTAGAACAAAGTAAAATGCACTTTTATTGCTATTAAAGTGGAACTGGAAGAGTATTAAAATGATGTGAGGATCTACGTGTATTGATTCATTGATTGAAGTATTTTTCATTGAATTTATATTCAGGGAAGAAAATTATTATTTTTTTTTTTTGAACAAGGAAGAAACTTAAATTTAACTCAATTTTTAATTTAAATATACAATTTTTCAAATTTGAAAACAATCGAATTATGATTCTAATTCCGGTTTTTTTAGAAAATCAAATCAAACCGAAACCGCACAGTCCTGCTACATGGATTGAACCACCCAAATGGTCTACTTTTCTCTAACTACATAACTATTGTCATGAACTAGGCCATTTTCAGAGCCCAATAAGCCCATGGATTTGACAAGAAATTTGGATCCAGTTAACCAATAAATTTCACTAAAATAGTTTTCTGTTGGTAACTGAAATAACAGGAAATTTTTTAATAATTTGATTTTGACTGTATTTGAATTTTTAATCCCATAGCTTTAATTATGAAATGAATATTTGGTATGTTACATTCATACAATAATAAATTTTGAAGGTAAAAATTAAGATATGATGCGGTTAAAAATCATTGTGTTATTTATGAGCATAATAATAACTGAAATGACTTGTCTTTTGAAAATGATACTAACAACTTAATCATCTAGAAACAAGGCTATTACAAATAATTAATTGCTATTATGAAATTAATTGATTGATTAAGACTTAATTAATCATTAAGATGATTTTTTCAAACCAACGCAAGTCAAAATAATGTCTTCCTCAAGTCTATACGTATAGTATTTAATCTATATATATACACACACGTTTGGCTTGAAGTGTAAATTTTATTTATTCACTTGAATACTTCATGTCTTCTTCTTCTTCTTCTTCTTCTTCTTTTTTTTTTTTTTTTTTTTTTTTTTTTTTTTTTTTAAGAGTATCACACTCGCTTGATAATCTTAAAATGCTCTTTTGTGCCAGAATACACACACATAATAATGTCTCTCTCGTGATAGTCCTCCTATAACGTTCAGTATTTAATCTATATCTATACACACACGTTTGGCTTGAAGATGCTAAATTTTTTTTATTTCACTTGAATACTTTCATGTCTTCTTCTTCTTCTTCTTTCTTCCTTCTTTTTTTTTTTTTTTTTCTTTTTTTTGATTGTTACGTTCATTCCATTTTTCATTTCTTGTAGTATAAGCATTTTGTTCAAATTTGCTTTTCAAAGAGAGGAGTGAGAATTTTTTTTTTTTTTTTTTTTTTTTTTTTTTTTTGATTGTTTACTTCATCTCCATTTTCATTTCTTGTAGTATAAGCATTTTTGTTCAAATTTGCTTTTCAAAGAGAGAGTGAGAATTTTTGCCTTTTTAGTAAATTTTTTTTTTTTTTGAAAATCAAAATTTTATTTATAGATAGGATTTTTTTTTTTTAGAGATATTATGGTATAACCGTATATTCTAAAATTTTAAGCATACTAAAAATGATAAATGGATTACAATTATACTTTGAAACTCTCAAGCCTATTGAAAGGCAGCTCATTAATTGGATATATACACTAGAGATGGGAAATTTATAATTCTATTCCTTTATTTTGTCATAGCTTATAATATAGTCTCTATATTTTTAGAAATATATAGTTTTATCCCTAATTTTTACTTTTGTGATACTATTATATCATTTTATCAAATTTTTATAACTTTTCCATCAAAAATTACTAATTTGTCCTGTATTTTAGAAAAATTAACTAATCTTACTAACTATTTTGTTCCTGTATTTTGCCAAAGCTAACCAATCGATTCTTTTATTTAACAAAAAAGTATAAAAAATTGACATAACGATATATAGAGTAATATGGGCAAAAGATAAAGACGAAATTATGCATTTCTAAAAATACAAGAGCAAAATCGTGTATTTTGACAAAATATAAAGATAAAATAGTAATTTTTCCCTTAGAAGAAAAGGGAAACGAGGTTTGTTCTAAGTAATTCCCAGAAGTAATATATTAGCAAACGAAATAATATCCATGCTCTATATTTCATTTATATTGAAGGGAAAAAAAAAAAGTTTAATTTGGCTCTTAAGCTTTCAGTACATGTTGCATTTGATTCAAAATTAACTTCTGAACTTTGAGTTTAATAATCTAATTTTTTAAAAAAGAAAGCATTAAATTTTCACTTTTAAAATATTCTCAAACAATAAAAATTATATAAAAAATAAAAAAAAAACTCGATTTTCATTATCGAGGATGGGAGCAACAAAAATTCAATTTTATTTTTAAGGTATAAAATTTAATTTTTTTTATTGTTTTTCCCTAAAACGAATAACTATAAACTCAAAATTTATGCCCTATTAATTTTGGATTAAATTGCAGATCCAACAAAAATGTGAGGGCCAAATTGAATATTATATTTATCTTATATTTGATATCCTTATTATTATAAGTTTATGTTTTTTTTAAAAAAAAAATGTTTGAACAATGTTTTTATAGGTATAAGTTCATCCAAGTTCCCCTAACTAAAATTTTAATCTAATGGGTTTCCCTTACTAAATTTTTTTTTTTATTAATTAGTATGATAAAGTTGAGTTGTCAAATGGAAAACCTAATTTTTCTTTGACTTTAGCCTTTTTGAAAAATAATACTCCCCTGTCCCATTTCGTTTGCTTATTATTTCTTTTTTAGATGTCCCAAAATGTTTCTAAGATTTCTAAATTTAGATATGTAAACAATTATTTTTAACTTTTATGATTGTTCATTAAATGAATGAAGATTTCTAAATTTAGATATGTAAACAATTATTTTTAACTTTTATGATTGTTCATTAAATGAATGATTTTTATTAACATTTTAATGAGTTAAGGGTAAAAAATGACAAAATAATTTTTGTTAATATGAGTGTTTTGTCAAACCATGCAGTCAAAATAGAATGGAAGAAGCAATTAATTAGTGTATTGACCTAATTAATGGTTAGATGATAGCACCATAGAAATGGTCAAATTTCAAAATAAATTATAAGGCCTAAATTAAATGATAATTAATCTTATTATTGCAATTAATCTTCCTATATACATACAAATAAATTTTGCTGCACGACAGTGAGGGGTAATGAGCTGTAATGTGTTTGCTTGAAATTCTTGATCATTACATTGACAAAATAATATTAAATTATTCATTAAAAAAATTATCTTTTGTCTTATATATTTTATATGAATTGATTCATACACAAGCCAGTGTGCATGCTTGCACATTCTTTTGTTATTAAAATACATGAAATTTAATGTTCGACAAAAATAAAATATACTGAATTAATGTTTTATTAAATCTAGTTTTTATTAAATATATTTATTTTTTCAATATATTGAATTAATGTTCAAGTTGATATACTTCATTTGTCTCTAGATATCAAATTATCAGCCAACAATTTGCTCTGTTTTGAGAGAACTAATTTTATTTATTAATTGATCATCGATCAAATACATAGATTCCCCCCTAAACTTTTAAAGAAAAATCCTACAACACCCTTAATTTTGCAGGGAACCACTTATGCATTTGACGTTCTTTTTTTCCATCATTCGTGCACTTTTCCACATTGGCAAATGAGAGCGTGTGGTCAATGGCAGGTAGAAGCGTGAAGCACATAAATTTATGCAAACGTGGAAAAATCTTGTCCACTCTGGCATAAACGATATAGTTTATGGTTTATACAACTACAGACTCATCTTCTCAGATCGATATATCTCTCTTCAAAATTCTCTTTTTGCTGCGTCAAGTTATTGAAATTAGGAATTACTCGAACTACTCAACCAAATTTGATTGCCCCTATTATCGTAATTAGCCGCTTCAATTGTCAAGTACCAAATGGTACTAAAATCGTCTAGTTGAGAGGACTACAACAATATTAGCCTAATTACTTTATTCCACTATTGATGGATAAAGCTTTCCAGGCAAAAGCACATCTC